TTAATCCATATTACAACCAAAAACATTTCTCTTTCTTTTTAATATACACAGTTTTCTCTCGTTGAACTACTTTAATCTATTCCTTATATATATATATATATATATATATATATATATATATATATATATATATATATATATATATATATATATATGCACACACATACATATACGTATAAAGGTAAAAAAAAATGGGAAAATTGTATTATTAGCCGACGTTTCGTCCGATATGGACTTTTTCAAGGCAAAAACTAAATGAAAAAGTCCATTAGAAACGAAACGTGTCGGCTATCTTTTCCTATTGTCTTTAACTTTATACTAAAGGTAAAAGACAATAGGAAAAGTTTATACGTATTGTTTTCTATATATATATATATATATATATATATATATATATATATATATATATATATATATATATATATATGATAGATAGATAGACATAGTGATTGATTTTCGGTCCTTAATTTTGATTAGATTGACGGAACAAGATGACAAAGTACATCTTTCTTTTCTTTTGTTTTAATTTTTTTAATTTGATATATTTTTATTAAAAATATATAAAATAAAATAAAAAAAATAAGTGTGCTTCTCACCCTTTGCGTTAGGTAGATAGATAGATAGATAGATAGATAGATAGATAGATAGATAGATAGATAGATAGATAGATAATGATCAGAATTAGATAGATAGATAGATAGATAGATAGATAGATAGATAGATAGATAGATAATGATCAGAATTAGATAGATAGATGGATAGATAGATAAAACAAGTCGTTTATTTTACACGTGTAAATGACGGGCTTTTGTACATAAAAACGCGTTCGACTAAAGACGCAAAGAGCTTTTAATAGTCGCAACGTCTTTAAGAAGTAACTTAAGTTTAGTTCTAACGTCGACAGTCTGTTATTCCTTTTAGTTACAAGACATTTTTTTTTTGGATAATCAAGTGGGGGAGAGAGGGGGAAACTCTCTGTTAATATGCCTTTACACTTTTTTACACAGAAAAGGGAATTGGTTGGATGTATGTGACAATAAGTAACCCTCATCCATGATGAGATTGACGATCGTCGGGATCATATCATCGCCGCTGTTGGTTTAAACAATTTATTTTAAAAAAAAATAAAAACGTCGGAAAAAAAAACTAATTAAATTATTAAAATAACCCGGCTTTAAAATTTATTGTTCGTTTTTTCGTTAAGAACTTTTTGTTGTTTATCAGACCTTTTTTGACTGCTCTGCGTCGAGCTAAAACTGAGTTTAAAATCTGACATATGAAGAAACAACTTCGGCAATAGTTTTAACAGCATCACTATATTCAGTTAAACAAAAAATAGACCTTCTAAAACAAACAAAACACTAATTATTTTCCCAATAATTAATTGATATAACTGTAACGTTCTCTGTATTTCCTGTAGGGCACTTCGATGTGGTGTCATCTTTAGCAAGAAGCTCGTCTCGCTATATAATTACGACTGAGTAGTGAGTTAGAACCTCACTGGGTGTTCCATACTTACAGCCATGTGACACATCTAAGCTACACTTGGTAATAAACTGAATTTCGGCCACAATTCTGCCGATTAAATTCGGCTTTGTCGGGTTACTTTAATTAACAACACAACGTCGCAACGCATCGGTGGCCACAGTTCGAACGTATAACCTTCTGATCTGAAATCAGAAAATATACAAGTTGGGACAGTTAGTTAATAAACAGTGAAAACTGGTTTCCACCAACCCAAATCAGTTTGACATGTGTGACTGCTGCAAAAAGATGACATGGCCTTAGCTTTTTTAAGCTTAAATATTTGATGGATTTAAAAAAAAAAATTATGAAAGATGGCACAACAGGTTGTAGATTTTTACTAGGAAATAGTGTACTGCGCTATCTTTTTTCTGTTACAAAAAAAAAATTTAGTTTTTAAAATGTTAAAAACATTCTCTAAATAAAGACCATAAAAATAGATGACAATTGACAATTATTTTCAAAATTTCATTTTGCCTCTCCAAGGCTACGTCGTCACAATTTTTCTATGGTTACAAACAATTGTATCCGCGTATTTCTGTGTAAAAGCGCTTTGGGTTTAATTTCTGTGCTAAAAATATCTAATCTTTCTTTTATTTTAATAATATTGATATATTTTTATTATTTTATTATCAAATCAAGGGTTGTATATTTTTTCTTTACTTTTTTTGTTTCGATACGAATAAACGAACACGTAGACTTGAGATACACGCATGTGCGTGTTTTAAACGGAATATTGATGAGTGTGTCACTGTGTAGATGGACAACCCTTTCGGCGTGTTTTGTCTGCTCGGGTAGGCCTACTCATACACGCGCACACACACACACACTTACGCACGCACATAATAGTCGATCTGCCTAAATCTTTTAAGAAGGGTCTATTCCTTTTGTTTTGTTTTCTTCGCACCGATATTATAAATTATGAATAGGTTGAGATAGATAGATAGATAGATAGATAGATAGATAGATAGATAGA